CCCCTTAAAAAAAAATGCAATCCATTAAATTATTATTCCAATCAAAGCTACATATACCTGAGTCGAGTATGTGCATGTATCTCCTGACAGAGGCGTTTCATCTTGGTGGCGCGGGAGTTCTTCCCGAGCCAGGCAGGGAACTGGATCTGACCAGTCATATGACCAGACAAGCGGTTACCTGGGATCACTGAGCTGTACATCGCCTGGGAATGATATGAAGATGCAGATATAATAAAAGTTGGTTTATGAAAATATAGAATGGTCCTAATAATTCTAAGTATAGATTTCACTACGAGACTAAGGTAATGAAAATCTATAATTCGCTAGAAAGATCCCATTGTGTCTCTCCGAAAAGGCCATAAATACATTATTTTAGCTAAATGACGTATATTTCATCTAAGATCATTATTAAAACTAAAAACTCTATGTACTTAACAAATGTTTGTTTACCTGCATTGGCAATAGACTCCACGCTTGATTGCGGCGTATCCGCGCGTCTACCAAGTCACCCAAGCTGATGCTGTCCGCTGCCTCGCTTATCCTTTGTAACACTTCATTTCTGAAGCAAATAACCGACATTTTATTGTTAGTAAAGTGATTGTGTAAGGAGGACGTACATCAGGCGCCTTTTATCCCCGAAGGGGTAAGCAGAGGTGCACATTATTAAGAAGGAGGAAAATTAATAATTATGTTTACGGCTAATACACGTTAACTGTTCGACGAGGAACTCGACTAGTTTCAAGCCAGAGACCAGCTAGAGACTCATCATGTCGCGCGCACCGCCGCCGCCGACAGTACGGATAGAGGTGCGTGCGCGTGAATCACGGCACAGGGAAGTCGGGCCCGCCCCGCAGCGGGGCCCAGCGGGCACTAGCAGCGACACTCATCGCGTCGGGTCTCGCGGAATGTTGCTCATCAGCTTCTAGCATGGCGTGAAACTAGTCGAGTTCCTCGTCAAACAGTATAGTGAATAAGCCGAAAACATAATAATTAATTTAGTATGTCTCACGAAAGTTAAAATATAAACAGGAGGAAAATATGTAGAAAAACCTAATAAAGTCAATAGTCAGTTTCTTCTAAAATTCATATTTTCTTTCTCACGTGGAAGTAGGCACCATGCTTCGCACGAATGGGCCGGCTCTGTCGGAGTGATACCACAAGCTCACAGACTACCGACGTGAGACAACTGAAACGTTGTCTTTGGCGGTGAAATTGAGGTTATTGGATATCTAAAGCTTGAAAGACCGGCAGCGTACTTTTGGTACTCTTTTAACTCCACGGGTGTTGGTGGTGGGTGTCCACGGGAACAGTATCAACTGTTCTGTATGTGTGACCTATAAGAATTCTCGTTCGCTGCCCCATCTTGTATATAAATGACTTACTTAGGACAGTGCGGGGCGACCTGTAAATAGTTCTCCTGTACAAAGAGTGGCGCGAGGCTGTAGTCGTAGAAGAACAGGTCGCTCTTGTCGTTGATACTCATCGTCTTGTGGTCTTCTGCTGAGAACACCTTGCGGATCGCCTCGAATGGACCCTGGGAAGGTGGATTGGTTTTATTAGAATAAATTAATATCTAGGATAATTCGGATATCGCACGGGACGAGGGCAACTTGTCACAACAATCTTTGAAACTACGCAACGGAATTTGATGCGGTTTCTTTTCTTAGATAGTTATTCTTAAGGAGGGTTTATACGTATAATACATGCATATTGCACCCGTGCGTAGCTCGCTAGTAGTAGTATAGGTATTAGTCATCAGTAAAATTTTCTCGCGCTGCAGTTGTTTTAAGAGCCTGCCTTTTAATTTCAACATCGATCGACCAGTCGCCGGCCGGTTCGAAGTGACGGTGACAGGCGGGAAATACGTTTAATATGTGCACTCGATGTGCACATGACAAAGTCTCTAGTGTCAATATATGTCTAATGACTAATGTAAATGTAAGCTTGAAGAAGTATATGGGGTTCATTATTTTTGTATTATAATGTGTGCTACGTTTTGCTGGATATGTCTATGAGCCCCGAGCGTGACTTGTAACTAGTCAAATTACCTCGTTCTTCGTCAAAACTGTAATACATTATTCAAGATTTGAGAATAGTTTTTTAAACGTTGTCCACACTAGGATTTTCTCCTGTGTCGTGGGTGCGTTTACAAACATAGAAGTTCACATACACAATGACACCCAGACCCGGAACAACAAACTGTGGATCACACAAAGAGATGTCCCGTGCGGGAATCGAACGCGCGACACGTTGCGCAGCCACCGCACCAACCGTGCAGTCTAGTGCAGTACTTATATTTAGAGTTTATACAAATTCATACTAATAGGACTGTACTCACCAGCTTAATATCCTTCTTGGTAGTCTGAGCATCCTTCCTGAGACTGTCTGCATCAGCGCGACTGGGGTCTATGGCCCACATGGACAACAAGTTCAGGGTCTGTCGGACATCTTGGTTGGCGGAGACTATCAACTGACTGAGCACGTCAGAGGGGATCTTTATACCCTCTTTGAAGCATATCGAGAGCATCGCTGACTGTAAACATGTAGAGAAATGTTATATTGATGATATTCATGAAAAGCTGACGGTTGATTGAGGAAGGTTAATTCTTTTAACACCACTGACTCAAATCAGAGTGTTAATTTGAATAACAAAGGTATATATTTTTTTCTTTGGCAACCAAGTCTCGAAATAGGTGTCTATTTAGAGGTCTATTTAGAGACTTGGTTGCCAAAGAAAAATAAAAATATACCTATGTTATTCAAATAAATATTCTGATTTGAGTCAGTGTGTTTTGTTGTTGTCGCCTTATTGTTGAAAATGTTAAGGTGTGTCCAGACATCGAGCGGTAATCGAGCGCGGCTTGCAGCCCCGTGATTGGACAATACCCGCGCACGGACATGTAGCTTGGAGCCCGTCTGCGGGCAGCATGAGGGCGAAGCAGAGCTACCAAACACGGAGCCGCTTACATTGTGGTTTCAATACGAAATACAAAGTGCGGCGTGTCTCGGACTGAACTGGCGCGCACCTTCCACGACGTATTTGGACACAACACCTTTACAATCGCGACTGCAAGGGCTCCAGGTTACGATTACTGAGTCGAACCAATTTTTATTTGGATTGTGAATATTGCCACTAGTAATTTACGAGCCTGGAATTATGTGAAGCAATAAACTTGGACCTTTTTAGATTAGACTAATATAATAACACAACTGGCGAATTGACCTTTACTACAGAAAGGTGTCAAAGTCAAAGCATTTATTACAACTAAAGCATAAACAAGGTACTTTTGAAACTTCATAAAATATAAAAATAAATAATAGTTTTAGGGCCAGTTCGACCGGAACGATACCACGGTCAAGCAGAAAACCGACGTAAACCAACGTGCTGACATAGTGTTTTGTCGTGTGAATCAGGTTACCGGAGGCCCAATTACGGCCCTCCGCAATCTCCAAATCCCCAAAAATCCTTAAATTTCTAACCATAAAAAACCCGGTAAAGCACTTGTAACGCCTCTGGTGTTCCAGGTGTCCATGGGCGACGCCGATTGCTTACCATCAGGTGATCCGTTTGCTCGTTTACGAGGTTTATGGTATAAAAAAAGTCAGTCTGTCCGTCAGGTAAGCTAGGTGGTCGTTACAAAATGTATATTCGAATGTAGAAGACCGAGCAAGACAATCCACCGTTACTCTTTTATTGTCGGTATTGCTACGTACCTTAATCTGGTCGACTCTTGGCCTATTGAACCTCAGATCGTAGCAGTAGTTGACAAGAGACCTCATCTTCTGACTCTGTCTGTCATTACACATGCATATTATTGGCACTGATGACGATTTTATTAATGCTATCAACTCTTGGAGACCACCTGGAAACAAAGGAATAAATTGATATATTAATTGCAACTTTGTGTTAATAATGTTATGGTTTTATTTTGTATAGCAAGTATTTAAGTACAGCATATGGCTCATATGGTTTTCAATTCAACCAGTTAACGTACTTTTTATTGGATTTTCGACTTTATTTCAAAGTAATAAAGTATAAAATCTAATAACAGACAGTTCTTTAATGACATAAAGGGGTTGGTCTGCTGACCATGGTGCATTGAACTAAAAAATACGAGCTATGCAAGTTTAGGGAACAGAGAGTAAAATTCCCTATGATCGGAAAAGGACGATCCTCCGACCAGGCGAGGTGATCGTGCCCGACGGGCTTTCTGCCCAACAGTTGTTCGTTAGGATTTTCTATCCGTGTTAATTCGGAGGTAAACTTTGCATGTGCGATGTGAGATTTTTGTGACGTCATCCGTTGACATTGTGACATGTGTCGCCACACAAATATAACTAGCTATATACAGAGTTTTTTTTTTAAGGGGGGTAATCATCGAATGACTGCTCCCGCCTGGGTGAGACGGAAGGGAGTGTCAGACTCTTACTGACTACAAACCACCCCGTTCCTTCTCCTGCACGTCGAGCCGGAGCCCCGGTTACCCGTTAGGTTCTCCGCGACTCCGAATCGGCATCGGCCGTATTGGGCCCCATCTGTGGTGGTCTGATGGCTCTTTGAGGCGCGCGCGGCGCCGTACGCTCGGGTAGCTATATACAGAGTTGATATATGTATGTTATTGATACATACCTCTATCCTCATTGCCGGCCATTCCGTCGACTTCATCCATGACCAGCACGTGTTTCTTTGTTACTGCTTGTTTACCAGTCACACCTAAAAGGAGGAGGAACTTTTTATGACAATCATTTCTCGAATATTATTTTCACAAAAAACAACATCGACTAATTAGCATGTATACAGAGTAGAGAGTGAGAAAGTACATTCGTGATAATATTTTCATCTTTTTTTTGGGACAAGCCCGCCACAACCTCCCAAAACCGCTGCAACTCCTGTAAGCCAGGATCTACAGTAGATACAACCATGAAAACACCGGAACATTGAAGTCCAGCGCGTCCCAGGGACATGAGTAACTGTCTTTTTTCCCGCAACGAAGTGAATCAGAAGATATTATAAGAGGAGAAGAAGAAAAAACTATAGTTTCCACTTCCCTCGGTGAATTACTGCAGGAGACAATGAATTAAGCCTAAAGGCACAAAGATAAGAAGAATATTCTCATCTATGAAAAATCTAGGAGGTTTTTGTTAATGAAATTAATTTTTTGATACCAATTTCTGAGAAGTAATGGTGTTACCACACCGCACTAATCGATTGACATCGATTGATGTTCCTCGATTAGTGTGTATCTTTAATCGATCGACGGGTACCGATAGATAATCGATCGGTTGCCAGTCGCCGTTGATTGGATGGGCTGCGGGTGACAATGTGGAGCTCAAGCAGCTCGATCGACGGTTTACCCATACATACATCGATCGACTGATATGGCAACACCCTACCTCATCACTACATAGTATAAAACAAAGTCGCTATTCGCCATCTGTCTGTCCCTATGTATGCTTAGATATTCAAAACTACACAACGGATTTTGACAGTTTTTTTAATAGATAGAGTGATTCTTAAGGAAGGTTTTTATGTATAATAACATGCATATTGCACCCGTGCGAAGCCGGGGCGAGTCGCTATAACATATATAACCAAAAATGTTTTACAATAAAAATCTCTACTCGCTTTTCTTATAGAATGCTATATGATATAATGTACTAACCATTAGCAAAGCCAGAGAGTGAATTAGTAGTGAGTAGCTGTCCGATCTGTTCCTTGATGAGCGTCTTGTTCCTCGTGTCTGACGCGTTGAACTCCACCATGTCGAAGCCGAGCTCCTTGCACACTAACGCCACTGATGTTGTTTTACCTGTGTAACGTTAAAAAATAATATTAATCAGCTTTTTCTAAGTTTTTTCTTGTCATGTATTTCTTTTTCTTTGAGTTTTTATTTCTGCATTGTCTCTAATTTGGTCTCTTTTAAATTTTTTATTATCTTGTATTATTATTATTTGTTGTTGTATCTATTATATAGTAAAAAGTGGGTGTTACATTGTACAGAGGCATTAAGTGCCGTAATGTGCTTCTCTACCTACCCCTTAGGGGATAGAAGGAGTGATATTATGTAATGGTATATCACTATTATCGGCAAAGTGACTGGCAGTCGTTGAATGTTAAGAACTGATTAAAAAATGGGTCAAGTCTACCTTGGCCTATCCATTCATAATATGTTAATAATATAGTGTACTCACCGACGCCGGGCGGTCCAGAAAGTAAAGCTGCTTTATAATAACCTCCGTCATCATTTTTAGCCCAGGGACTGGGTTTCGGTAGTTTAGCCTTTCTATTCACATACCATTTCGTCAGCCAATTCATTAACCTAAAACCAACCTTATTTTAGACACAATAAAGGCTAACATTGATTAGCAACATATACATAGGAACTTGCCATATCTCTTGAATATTGACAATTTGATATTAAACTGACTGCCTCGTTGGCCGAGTTGTCGCAAATGCGCTTGGCCGGGCAAGGGGTCTCGGGTCCGATTCCCGGATCGGGCAAAGTATTACTGGGTTTTTAAAAATCTCAGTAGTAGCACGGAATCTGGAAACGTGCCCGGTATGGTAATAGGGTCACCCCCTATTAAATGGGACTCATAACATAAATAGTAAAAAGTGGGTGTTACATTGTACAGTGGCATTAAGTGCAGAATGTGCACCTCTGCCTACCCCTTCGGGGATAAAAAGGCGTGATGTTATGATGTTATGTTATGATATTAAACGTTAACACCTCGTAATAAGAGCCATACATACTTTTTAACATTGCTAGCGTCGCCATGTTGTCCAATAATTTGTTTGATACTCTGTGGCTTGTATTTCTCCACCCACATATTCGAATTATCTTGTATGGGATTCACTTCTTTTTTTACATCTGTAAATAGGACAAGTCTTTAAAAACAAGAATCAGTAACCGAAATGTATGTACGCGAATAACTCTTAAACTACTGGACCAAATTGGATAATTATTTTTGTCGTCTCAATTATTATTAGGACAAGATTTCTATGATAGATGTTTCTACAAATACTTCAGAAAAATCAGAGGGCCAAGCACGAATAACTATCGCATTCGTAACGTAATAGGATCGAGCGCGTTCGGCGCTCTGATTGGCTGGCTCAAGTGAACCAACCAAACAGAACCAACCTGGGTGAAGTTGGAGAGAGGTGGTAGTTAAAAATATACTGTGAAACCTGGTTAAGAGAGACATCAAGGGACCTGCCATGTCGTTTCACTTATAGAGGTATTCCACTTACCCATTCCGGAATACTGAAACGTTACTCAATTTTAAGTTGTAGTTAAATATCGTGCCATCTCTGTCATTTCACAAAGAATTTGTGGAGACAGAACTATATTACAGAGGTTTATGCATAAAGAATTTACTCGCTGTCTCAGTTATAGAGGTAACTATGATGATAAATCGAAAGAATAAATCCCAGATATAGAGGTTTACCTCGTCCCACTAACAGAGGTAATTCAATGCCAAAGTGTTAGGACCTCAGATTGAGTTCCAGTTATAGAGGTTTCTCACTTATCCAGGTCCCACTTAACAAAGTTTCACTGTATATACACACTTATAAACTCAAGCGTTTGTCCCGTAGAGGAAGACCAACTAAAGTGTCTCCTTTACATACTTTTTAAATTTAAGCGCCGATTACAATGCTCAGTTAAATTTTATCAGAGGAATTACTTTACAGTTAAGTATTAACTGATTATTGAAAAATCGGACCTAAATTTATTCATACCTTAACAACACTTATTTAATATTTATCTAATTAATAATAAAGATAAAGTTCAGACTTCAGTTGTATTTTTAAAAGGAAATGATTACAGTCTATCTAATAGTGATGCGGATGCGACTTCGGACAAGTTTCAACTTGTAACTGAAACGTAGTAACAAAACAACAAAGGTGTTGTGATTGAATGAAGGGGCGTGAAACAATAAAAGGTACGTACCGGTAACCGGCGCAGCGACGTGTTAAAACATGTTGGGAGAGAGACTTCCAAAATGTTATCTTACTAATATTATAAATGCGAAATGTTTCTTGTGTGTATGTTTGGATGGATGAATGAAATGACAATGACCATTGACCAAATTTGTATGGAGTGCGATGCCTTTTCATTTTTTCGCGGCACTTGATCGGATGTGGAAAAACTGATGCAAAATAACATTACAAAAAAAACTATATGGGGTTTTATACACCACTATTTTTTAATTAGTGCAAATACTTAAAGGGCTTATTTAAAAAGTTCTTATTAATATCTATGCAGAGTTTAAAAAACTAATATTAATAATCAGCAAAGTTATTAGCGGTAAGTTATATACAAAAGTGTCACTAAATTCATGGAAATATTGTACAGGTTATTTCAGGTCATTCATAGTAGTATTCATTAATCATATTCTCTCGCGTTCGCGTGCTCTCGCTCGAACTTGCCCCGCGTCCAACAGCTGATAACGTAATTGTAGGTAATAAGTTAGCACTATCTGTTTCTCGCTCGCTCGAAAAGGGATCGCTGGCGCTGAAGGGGGCGTGGCTTGACCTTAGACGCGAGTTTGCCGGGATCTATGAATGGCATTCAAAACGAAATAGCACTGCGCGTAGTATTTTCTAGTAGCAATTGTTATGAACGATTGATTCAATTATGAATTTAACAAATAAGACTAATTTTCCTGGACAATTTTGAGATTTAGTTTTTTTTAGTTTTGATTACACAAATATGATCAGTAATGGGTACAGAAAGTGCCTCATTTTTTGTGTATTAATTTAAAAAATAGTGGTGTATAAAAAACACAGTCCAAACCGAGTTAAATCAGTTTAAAGATGTGAAAATAGTGCTATATTATACCAGATTAGACACGACCTTCAGTAATGAAGAGAAAAACTAAGAAGAATATCCAAGTAGGTACTTACTGTTTACTTGATTCCTTGCTGTATGCGAGCTCGAACTTGCTTCAAATTTTTCTGCCTTGATTTTCTTTGGACTAGATTTGTCACGATGTTTACTCTCACTACTTTTATCTCTAACTTTAGTTTCCGACTTACTCCTGTCAGGACTCTTCAATTTGTCAACATGATTATCTTTCTTATCTTTCGGACTCTTAGATTTAGATTTACTAGGAGTCTTTTCTCGTTTGATTTCTTTCTTGATTTCTGTTTTACTAGTGTTATCTCGTGATCGGTCTACGATCATTTTTAGGAATTCATCTTCGTTTATAATTTTGATTCCTAGTTCTTGTGCCTTTGCCATTTTCGCTGGGCCAGCGTCTTCGCCTGCGATCACGTGTGTAACCTGTGCAGGAAGAAAGTATACTTTATCGAAGTCATCTTCATCATCAGCTGAATGAAACACATTCATAACTGAACAAAGTGGGGTTTGCTATAGTCCCTAAGTTTGGCAAGCAGTTTTGGGATCGGGATTACCTAAGCAGTACTTTTTTTTAAACGTTGCCGTACACTAGGATTTTCTCCTGTGCCGTGGGTGCGTTTACAAACATACAAGTTCAGATACACATTACACACAGACCCGGACAATCTGTGGATGACACAAAGAGTTGCCCAACAACCATTTGAGTTGTTGGGCAACTATTTGACTTTTTCCGAGTTATATGTACTTTCTAAGATTATTTAGACACCACTGACAAACGGTGAAGGAAAAACATCGTGAGGAAACCTGGACTTATAATTTCTAATTATAAGTTTGAAATCGCCAACCCGCATTGAGCAAGCGTGGTGATTAACGCTCTAACCTTCTCCGTGTGAGAAGAGGCTTTGCTCAGCAGTGGGCATTTATAGGCTGTTGATGATGATGATGATGATGAT